AGAATTGTCATCACCGCAAGGTGACTCATCTTTGGGCCAAAGGAAAAAGTCAGGTCAAGTGAAAAGTCACAGATGTGACTTGTGTTCCAGTCGTAGCATGGCACGAACAGTGTGCTGTCAGCACAGGAAAATGCAGTCCTGGAGAGGAACAGCTAAGGGCTTTCAGGTAATAAGTGAAACAGAACTCGGCCTGGGATCGGACTGCTTCACAGGGAAAAGGAAACAGGACCGCATTTGAAAGCGGAAGAGCAAGAAGGCTGGTGTCATCTCGCATGTCAAACGCTTCTTTTAGGGAATAAATTTATTTAAGAAGCTGTGACGCACTTACTGCATGAGGCAGGGTCACGCACTGGCTACCCCAGGAAGAGGCAGCCAGTGCACCCAAGTGCGAAGTATCTGGAGAACACAGCGTGTCAGGGAGGCCGGGAGAAGTCTCTGCATGGGCCAAGTTGCTGGCCCACAACCTGCAGAGTAGTGACAGCGTGGCGGGTGCTACCACCCAGAAGAGGGCTCTCCCACTGCTCCACACCCATATGCCTCCACCCAGCACAGCCTTCCAAGGGCCATTTCACAATCTACCTGTCCTGATTCAGAGACAAACCTTCTGCAAGTGTGTCCAGGGTCAGGCTTACCTAAAGGAGTGTGAGAATGGATGAGCCCTGAAAGTGGCAGCAGGAAAAGAAAAAGCAGCATTAAGCAAGGGAGGTCAGTGCCAACCAAGACCCCACAGCAGCCCCAGGCCCTCCTGCTCAAGTGCTGCAAGGCCAAGCAGGGTGGTGCGTGGACAGGAACTCCATGGCTCTCCTGCAGCACTTACATGGGCAGGAAGAGCAGGAGACCCATTCCTGACTCTTAAAGAGGCTCCTGAGAGGACAACCCGCAACCCCTGGGCCCTGGCTCTACTTTCCCAGGCATGGCCACATGTACAAGAGGCTCCTGTGTCCGCATCCTGTTTGGAGCTTAAAGGGGAAAAGCCAAAAAAAAAAGAGGGTCAAAGACAACATCTAGAAGGAAAGGGGCCCCATGAACAGCACAGAGGCATGAGATGAGCCAGCCGGCCTGGGCCAGCACCCCACATCCACAGAGCAGCCTTGTTCTCCAAACTGAATTGGAACACAAGCATCATAAGAGATGGGGGAGGGGCCGGAAAGGTGGCTCAGTGGAATAAGCACTTCCCTGGCAAGCGCAAGGGCTTGAGTTCAATCCCTGGTTCTGCAAAAAAAAAAAAAAAAAAAAAAAAAAAAAAAGGGGGGGGGGGACCTGCAGGGCCCAGCACTTGTGCTTTGGCTTCTAACTCCACAGAGGGTGTCTAGGAAATGTGCAGCCTGAGGGGAGCTGCTAGACTGGGGACGAGAGGCCATTCCTCCAAGGTACAACTTGCACTCCACCTCTGACACACTGGAAGCCAAAACAGAAGACCCTTCCTAACAAGGACAGGCATACTGAAGATGGTGACCCTAAAGAAGTCCCCTTCCCCATCTCCTCAGGTCCTAGGGCATACACACCAGAGGCCTCTGGGGTCAGGGATGCCCCATGACAGGCTAACTGTGCCTACAGGTATCAGGCACAGCCTGGACTCGGGCCAGGAAGAGCCCGCAAGGGACTGCGCACTCCTAGACTCATGCTGTCAGTTTGTGAGACTGCCTCTCACTCCAAGGAGACCTGAGCTCTCAGCATCAGTTTGTAATCCAGGAGGCCATTAGGACTTAGCCTCAGAGGCCACTTGTGACCAGCGAGTGAAATGACACAGGTCTGGCTGGGAGTAAAGGTACACACCTGTAATCCCAGCACTCAGGTGCTAAGGAAGGAAGACTGCCATGAGCCTGAAACTAGGACAAGCTACTTGTGCGTTCAAGATCAGTCTGAACTACAGAGCAAGATCCTGTCTCACAAAACAAAAGAAGAAATGACAAAGACCTGTCACGGCCTTGAGAGTTCAGAGACCACAACACCATCACAAACACCAACAGAAATGCCCTGAGAGGGAGGACACACTTCTAACAGCCAAATGCAGAGAGCTGGTTCCGCCGACTCTGTCCTGAGGCCTCTCCTTGCTCTGCCAGCCCATGGACCACAGGGCAGTGAGGCTGTTTTTGTAGCCAGGGCCACGCCAGCATGTGCAAGGGACCCTGTTCACTGCCCACCACAAACTGGGTCTACAGCAAACCCTAGCTCTCTGAGGAAACAACACAAGCTTTACTCCTTATTACTTCTGTAATAAGGAAGCAGCAAAGAAACAGGATCAATGTCCTTCTGCTTCCACAGAAAGACAGGTCTATAAAAGCCTGTCCCATTAAAGCAGGACCGAACCATGGGGGGCGGCTCACACACAGAAACCCCCAGCCACAGCTGTTTAGGAACGTGGCCAAAGCCCGTGCAGAGGCACATGTAGAATACACAACTGAAGAGTGGTCTTGGGGCTTCTCTTAGGGTCAGAAAATACTCAAAACAGAAAGGGCGGTGGGGGAAGATGACCTCAAATAAAAAGAAATAAACAGCTCCTGGGCAGACACCATCACTTCTGCTTGGCTGGGTGGGTCCTCACCTCTGGCTCAGCAGTCAAAAGGCAGACAGCAAAGCACAGGACTTCTCCACCCCAGCAAAGGTCATAGGCAGACTGGCCCAGTAGCTGGTGCAGGCTACTCCCAGGATGCACACCCGAGCCCAGCATGAGGTGGGCTTCCCAGAGCACCCAGCTCTTCACCATGCCTTCCCAAGCAGGCTAGGGTCTCACCTCATGTCTCCAAGCTTCCTGCTGATGGCAGAGCCCATGGTGGATAAAGCAGCAGATGTCTTCTGTCCTGCCTGAGACAGAGTTTCCTGGGTTTTCTTGTAGCTGGAAAAAAAAAAAAAACACCAGTTAAGACTAACCAGGAGGGGCTGGGGAAATAGCTCAGTAGAATAAGTGCTTGCCTGGCAAGCATAAGGGCTTGAGTTCAATCCCCCGTTCCACTAAAAAAAGAAAAAGACTAACCAAGCAGCACAGCTAAGCATGACCCACTACCAAGGAGACAAAGGGCAGGACAGCACCCAAGAGAAAGGTGGAAGAAAAGACAGGTGGGCAGTCGGCACCAGCTAGGTTGCCATGGAGAGGCAAGGCAGGGCCCCTGCTGTGTAGACTCAGCAAAGCCACAATCCCCCAACTCTGAGATGAATTTCCGCATCCTACAATTCAGACACTGCATCTCTACCTCACCTGAAACCTAGTAGACTTTCTCATCTTACCCCAGGGAAAGCAATGCCTATTGAGTACAAGAAAACAGCCCACAGAGGCCCAGGGCCTAGTTTCACACCTGGCGAGGAAGTGCTAGAACACCAGAAGCCAGAAAAGCCAGTCCCCAGCTCCTTTCCCGACTAGGCCAACATGGGCTCAAAGCTTCCCTTTCCTTTTCTCATGCAAGAGTCTTCAGAGTGGGGGCCAGGGAGGTGGCTCAGTGGAATAAGTGCTTCCCTGGCAAGCGCCAGGGCCTGAGTTCAATCCCCGGTTCCACAAAAAAAAAAAAGTCTTCAGAGTGGAAGAAACACAACCTGAGGAACAGCCTTGGGAGTGCGTCCCTGCAAGGTGCCTTTCCAGACAGGTGCCCTGACGCTCCAGCACTGTCTGCATGATGTCCTTGCAGAACACGGGCCCACCCCGTTCTCACTCCTATTTCACAGTGCAAGAGTATGGTCCTAACCCGCAGCAAAGACTGCCGCTCAGTATCCTGGCCTAGCCCTCCAGTGCCCACTCACCACGGGCATATTCTACTACGACCTTGCTGTGAAACCTCAACATCAGTAGAACGGGTACAGGCAGGCATGGAGGTCAAAGGGATGCTCTCGGGCCTGACATAAGAACCAACACCTGGGCTGGGGATATAGCTCAGCAGAATAAGCGCGTGCCTGGCAAGCACAAGGGCCGGAGTTCAATCCTAGTTGGGGGTGGGGTAGAACCGACACCTGAGGTTATCAGCTCTTGTCCAGCTGTCACCACAAATGAAAGACATGGCAGCCTCCAAAATGACGAAAGCCCATCACCAAAACCCAGATTTAACCCATTCTGGCCAAAACTCCTCACGAGGAGAGCCAGGGAACCTGAGGGAGTAGATGGGGCTTCCAAGGCCATGTGGTATCAACAGGGCTGACCTGAAAAGCTTCCTCCCTGAAACCTGACTACCTATGAGACTCGAGGCTGCCTTCCCACTAGTATCACCAAGCTGCAGGACGGCAACAGTCCTTGTGACCGCTCTCCTGACAGAGATCCAATGAGGCACACCTGCTGCCCGCCAGGACCCTCCTCACAAGCACACACAGCACATGAGGAAGACTCCTATCCGCCCTGTGGCACTGGCTGGCAGGACCTGCCAGAGCTCAGCCAAGGCCTAGCTACCGGGCACACGTTCCTGCCAAAGCAAGGGAGGCAAGGCTAACTATAAGCCACAGATGATGCTAGTGGAGAGAACTAAGGACTAGCAACATTTAGCTGCAGAAACATAACTTCAAGGGGCCGGGGAGATGGCTCAGCGGAATAAGTGCTTCCCTGGCAGGCGCAAGGGCCGGAGTTCAATCCCCAGTTCCGCCAAAAAAAAAAAGAAACATAACTTCACAACACATCTGCAATCTCAATTTTCCCTGAAAAAACAAATACTCAAAATAATAATAATATTCCATAGTTTGAAGTAAAATAAGCTGAAGCAGATGATTTAAAGAAAAATCCTGGCGCTTGCCTGGCAAATGCAAGGGTCTGAGTTCAATCCCCAGTTCCGCCAAAAAAAAAAAAAAGAAAGGAAGAAAAGAAAAATCCTGGGGTGGGGATGTAACTCAGAGCACACACCTAGGATGCTTGAAGTCCTGGATGCAACAATCCCAGTACCACCAAAAAAGGGAAAAAAGGAAAGGAAAAATCTTCATAAAATATCTATTTGTGCTCAAAGGGTGAGGCTGTGGAAACAGACTACACGGAATGCAAGTAGCTGGTCCAGCGAAGTAGCTGGCCACAACACAGCCCAGCAGAATGCCAACCCACGGCGTTTCTGGGCACATGACAAGGCACCAAGGGAGGCCCGTTCAGAGGCAGAACCCTGGAGCTGGTGCCCTACAGCGGGCATCTCCTGCGCTGACCTTGCCTCGTCTCACTGAGGCTCACCGGGAGCTTACATGGCAGCCCCACTCCATTCCAGCTAACCTATGGGGCGGGGCTATTGTCACCACAGGACAGACCAAAAGCAAAGGGCAGCGAACACAGTCAGAAAGCTGGTTCGATGGGGCTGGGGAGATGGCTCAGTGGAATAAGCGCTTCCGTGGCAAGCGCGAAGACCTGAGTTCAATCCCTGGCTCCGCCAAGAAAAAAAAAAAAAAAGCTGGTTTGAGCCAGGCATAGTGGTGCACACCTGTAATCCCAGCACTTGGAGGCTAAGGCAAGAGTTTGAGACCAGTGTAGGCTACAAAGTGAGCTCAAGCCCAGCCTGAACTGCATAGCAAGACCCCATCTCAAAAAAGACCAAAAAAGAAGGCTGGCTCCAAAGCACCAGGCTGCACCGCCCTGGCCCTTCCTCTAGAGCCGAGCACAGACAGCAGTTTCCTCCCAGCCTCAGCAAGCACATCTAGCTGCCAGAGTGCAGATCTGTCCTTTTCCTGCCTCTTCTCAGGATCCCTCTTTTTAAGGCAATCCTACACAGGCTGACCAGAGGATATCAGCTCTCTGGCTGTAGAAACGAGTCTAGTGAGACACACACCCAGGCCACTGTTTTCAGCTGCAAAGCTGTGAGGCAGGGCTTTTCTGCCCCACGAGCCCTCCCACCTCCCTCTCTGGCTGACATTTCTTCTCTTTGGCTGTGTTACCTGCAGCCCAAAGAACTCAAAGTGGACCAAACAGTAAGTACAGAGCTCGGCCGACTATTAGCAATGGGTTTCCACCTAGTTCTACCTGTAGGAGAATACAAGGTGAAGTTTCACAACCCGCAGAATGTGGCTGCTCCCATACAGGCCAGGATACCTCAGTAGCAGCAGCATCAGAGCAGCATCTCAGTGCACGAGCACAGCGCAGCTTCCAGGGGGCTAAGCCGACAGGTGCAGATATTCACGCATGATCCCAGAGCCCCATGCCTGTCCCAGACATCAGGGTGCTGCTGGCTACCAGGATCCACAAACTCTTGGATCAGGGAAGTCAGCAAGCTCCTTTCCATCCTCTTCCCTTGCCAAAGCTCCTGCAGTAGCCCATCTCCTGCAGCTGGCCAGGACTGTTACCAACCAGGCAGAGGACTCTACACAGCCAACATCCTCAGCACCACCCCCAAGCCACAGTCTCCTGGGATGTCAGTGTGAAAAGGCTTCTGGCTCTGTAACCCTCACTGTGACAGCCCACACACCAAGAGTTGGTGTGAGAGCCCAAGGGAACAGTCTCTGCAAGGAAGTACTTGAGAAGAGCCAATCCACCAGCCACACTTCCACGCTGAACCACAGGTTTCTCTCGAGGGGTCAGAATTCTACGTCCTAAACTCTTTGGGAGGCTCTCAGAGATTATATCCCTTTGTCAACTGGCTACACATACAACAGAACTGAAGTCTCCTGAGAGACATATACATACTTGGGGAGAGAGTTTCTAGAGATTGAACTAGGATATAGTCCCAGCATCCCCTCCTGTATATTTCATTTTGAGACAGGGTAACTAAGTCATTAAGTGACCCAGCCTGAGCTGGAACTTGCGGTGTCCTGCCTCAGCCTCCTACAGTGCTCCACTTACAAGTGCATGCCACTGTGCCCAGATTCCTAAGATGACCTCTAGACTGAGTCTGCCCTGTGAGCCTGCAGAACACCTTAACGCACTAAAACACTGTCGCTCCCACAAAAGTCACTGTCCAGTGCATCCACAAGGACATTTCACCAGGATGCCCACAATACCGAGGGCAGCAGGTGCTAATGAACGAAGGCACACAAACTGCCAGTTTCCCTGCACTCGCCTCCACGTGGCATTAGACCACAAAGTCCCATGGGCACCAGTGAGACAGACTGGTCCTGAACACCAAGACAAGGCCACAGCGTTTTCTTCTGCCCTAAACACAGGAGGGGCTTCTGCCTATGCCTTACAAGAATGTAACACTGCTTCTAACCAAGGAGAGGTTCCACGAGATTATATCTAAATGCTTCCTACCAGCTCAGACATTACAATCAGAAGTACAAACAACAGGCTGTGATCTAGATTAAGGATTAGCAGAAGTCATTCTGAACTCCAGGTGGACAAGCACACAAAGCTGTCCACACATCAACCTCCCTCTGCTAACATCCACATGGATGCCTACAGTGCAGGATGATGTAGGGCCCACAGCGTGACTCCTCCCAGAAGCCCCAGCACAAGGGAAGCCCTAAGATCGCAGCAAGTGGAACTGCACATGAACAAAGGAAGACCACCAATAAAAATTGGTCCCCAGCCAGGTACAGTGGCGCACGCCTATCATCTCAGCACTTAGGAGGCTGAGACAGGAGGATCAGTGAGAGTTTGAGACCAGCCTGGGCTACAAAGGGTGGTCAAGGCCAGCCTGAACTGCGTATCAAGAACCTGTCTCAAAAGACAAAAAAAAAGTCACCACCAAAATCAGGTATGACCACCAGTGAAAATCTACCTCCTCATGAAAGTCCAGAAGTGTCTTCCAAGCAGATGCTACCTGAGCCCAACTCAGGGGGCTGAGTGAGCAAAGGTCTTTCAGCTATGGCCTCTGTCCCACAGGGGTGTAAAGGGCAGTTTTATTGTATTTGGGAGGAGAAAAATGGCTAGCTAACACCAAAATGCAGCTGGTGCCCAATGTGCACAGCCTCTGTCCCTACAGAGCTGGGAGCAGGAGAAGCAGGAGGAGGAGGCACCGATGGCAAAGGCACTCACAGGTCAGACTGGGTCACTTTCTCATTCCACTCTCCAAGTTTCTCAGAAGTTTTCACATAGCTAAAAACAGAAAGTTTGTGGTGAATATTTAGAATGACTTCAACTCAAGGTTCAAGCTGTGAGATCACAGAAGACACAGGGAGAATGACCTGGCATACACGCTGAGGGCCAGTGGAGGTACCAGCTCTCCCAGCACACACAGGCAGCCCCAGATGTTCTGCTGGAAGGGGCGCCTGGGGAACGGCACTCCTGTGGGGAGGCAGGACAGTAATATCATGGCCCCAAGCCCTCTGACAGCCACATCTCAGAACCCAAAGCCATAGTGTCCTAAGGAGGAATATGGGGCTTCCATTGGTGATGTTTATGAACTGCAAGTCAATCTGCTCTTCTTCAAGACATAGTTCCTGCAAATGTCTCACCCCTCTTTTGTGAAAAACAGGCATCAATGGAGCCAGGGAATTTGGAGTCACCGCCCAAATTCAGAGAACTGACCTATGTATGGGTCAGAGGTCCTGGACTGTGACGATGTAATGTTCCTAAGAAGGGCTGGTGTTCATTTCAGCAGACCCAAAAAGTCATTCTCATTAAAGACCTAATTGGTAAGGCTGGATTGGTGGTACACAACTGTAATCCTAGCACTTAGGAGGCTGAGGCAAGAAGATTACCAAAAGTTTGAGGCCAGCATGGGCTACAAGACCCTCTCTCAAAAAAAGAAAAAAAAAAAAAAAAAAAACACCTCTGGGCTGGGGCGATAGCTTGGCAGTCTAAGCACTTGCTGGCAAGCACAAGGACCCCAGGCTTGATACCCGGCACTACATGCCAGCCAACAAAAGCAGGTATGGGATTGAATGCCTGCAATCCCAGTGCTAGGGAGGCTGGGAAAGGAGGATCACTATTTCCAAGCTACGTAGCAAGACCCTGTGCCAAATAAATAAATAAATAAATGATTTTTTAAAAAGACCTCTCTGAAACCTGGACCCTAAAACACCACTTTCCTGTCAATTTCTGCTTGGATAAGGAGCTAATATGTTCAGCACCTTTTCAAACACTGGAGATTCTACACTCTGAGTAAAGTCAGGTACAGTCCCTACTCAAGGCCCCTGGCCACCTGCTCCCAAGCACGCCCACTCCAAGGCCAGTGCGGTAAGGCATCTCATCAAAGCATTCATGCTGTCCATCTGCAAGAGAGGCACAGCCCCAGAAGGGCTCTCTCCAGTCAACTGGGTTGTGCCCAGGTGGGCTGGTACCTACGCATTAGAGACCTGCACATCATGCCAGCTCTTAGACAGGTTCTGCTTCAGCTCCCCCAAGGCAGACAGGCCCAGCCTCCTTTTCAGCTCTCCACAGTGCCTCTCCTTAGCTGACAGGACCTGGCGCAGGGTGATGATTTCTTCTTCTACCTGCAAAGCATACAGTTGACGAGGGGCCATCACTACTACAGGAAGTGACCGCCAGTCTTACACATGGTGCAGTCAGGTTTCTCAGGATCTCTACTTAAAACTCCCTGCCTACAAAAGCCCAGCTCGCCTCAGGAACGGCACCTGCAGCAGCAGCGGCTACCATTGTCTGACATCGGCACCCTGACTTCGGGAGAACTGCATGCTCCCCTACCCAGTGGTTTTGGTGGGGCTGCCAGGTGCTGGGCCCGCACCCCACTCCCCCACCAATCACTGGGCCCTCACCTCACCCGAGTAGCCTATGGATGATGATCTCAGGGTTATCAGAGCCCTTCCCTGGGGCTGGGTATCAGGAAAGCAGCACCTTTTCCCTCTGGGTCTGGGTCTGAGCTTGGACATAAGAGCTGAACTGCTAGTAGCCCTATAGTGGACATGGGGGAACTTCCTATACAGAGCTGACAAGAAAACAAGACACCATTGATAGAAACATCTATGTTTGTAAGGTTAGCTCCAGGCCTCAGCAAAAACCAGCCACAGCCAGGTGTTGTCAGTGCATGCCTGTAATCACATCACTGAGGAAGTGGAGGCAGTCCTGCCGTGAGTTCAAGGCTAGCTAGGTCACATAGTTGGTCCTCAACTAGTCTGAACTACATAGCAGGACCCTGTCTCCAAAAAATAACGAGAAAGAAAAAATAATTGAAACAAGAAATAATTACCAGGGCTGGGGAGATGGCTCAGTAGAATAAGCGCTTGCCTGGCAAGCACAAGCACAAGGGCCTGAGTTCAATCCCTGGTTCCACAAAAGAAAGAAAGAAAGAAAGAAAGAAAGAAAGAAAGAAAGAAAGAAAGAAAGAAAGAAAGAAAGAATTACCACAGCTAAACAAAATGATACAAAACATGAATAACCAGTTCAGTAAAGAAATAATCATCTAAGGCCAAGCTATCACCAAGTGTCCAGCAATTATAAGCAGTGACCAGAGCATGTAACATTCTTCTTTGAGTCCAATGACCAGCAGGGCTCAAAGAGTCATGGTCAGTTTAGCTGCTCTGGGGCACATCCAAAGTTGTTTGTTTGGTTTTTTTCCTGGTGGCACTGGCAACTGCACCAACTTTTGTTGTTTGTTGTTTTTTTTTTTTTATGTATTTGATACATGGTATAAGTTCTAGCTATGCAGCTCAGACTTACAGTGATCCTGTTTCCAGCCTCCTCAGCTCTGGGATTACAGGTGTGCTCCACCACGCCTAGTCCAGGGGCAGGCTCATCGCACCACCCCAGGGGCGGGGGTGGGGCAGGGCTGGTGCGGCGCGTGCCAGGGATGAGCCCCGCCCATGTGCTTGCCTAAGCAGGTGCTTAGTCCGCTGAGCCATCTCCTCAGCCCTGAGCCAAGCGCTCTGCATGAGCTACAGCCCCAGATCTCTATTTCTTGAAGCAGGGTCCCACTAAGTCTCCCAGACTGAGCTTCAACTTGAAGTCCACCCAGAGTGCTAGGATTACAGCCATATACTACCATGCTGAGTGACAAACTGAAATTGCTAAATAACAGAGAACTTGTTCACCTTGCAATTCAATTCTTTTTTTTTTTTTTTTTTTTCCGGAACCGGGGATTGAACTCAGACCCTTGTGCTTACCAGGCAAGCACAAAGGAAGCGCTTACTCCCCTGAGCCATCTCCCCAGCTGCAATTCAATTCTGAAAGTGACATTACGCCTCCAATTTCTAAATCTACTTTTTTTTTTTTTTTGCGGTACTAGGGATTGAACTCAAGACCCTGCACTTACCAGGCAAGCGCTTATTCTACTGAGCTACCTCCCCGGCCCCTCTACCTACTCTTACACAAAAACAAAATCTCCTTGGGCCTGGATAGACCCTGTGATCAGATATTTAGCATTAAACTCTATCATGGGGCATAGTGAAAGTCCTGTCAGTTGTTTTGAATAAAAATTATGCCTGGTGGTACACAAAAGTTCTTAATTGTTTTACTTTTAAGGAATCTTAAACATTACATGAAGTATGTAATTGTACCAAAATAAATAAAATAAAACCACTATTTTCTTTATTTATTTTTTGTCTATTTGAGACAGCATTTCACTATGTAGCTGAGCCAGCCTGGAACTCAATGTTCCAGCGTGAGCTACAGCCCAAGCTGATCTCAAACTCCCATAACAATCCTGCCTCATCCTCGTGAGTGCTGGGATTATAGGGATGCACCACCACACTGAGCTAAAACCACTGTTTTCAAAAGAAAAATTAAGGCCTAGGGAAGGGAGATTCATAAGGTCTCAAAAGCAACTGTTAATTGTTAATCCCAACAGAAAACAATCCCAGCTGCCTGGCAAGCTGCGCAGCTATTTTTCTCAAGGCAGCCTCCATGCTATGAGGCACAAAGTGATGCCCCCATAATGGGTGGGAATACAGAATGGCCAGGAGGGTGACCCACCAAGGCAACAGTTCCAGAGCACAGGTAGCAGTCTGGTCCCACAATAACCCAAGACAGCCCTCAATCCTGGTCACCCCAGAACACCACAGCACCTTGGCAAGCTCAGTCCTGAGCTCCTCCTCTTCTGCCTCTGTCAGACCCTGTTCAACAGCAGGAGTCTGGGCAGCCACACCTGGGCCAACAGGGACATCAATCATGAAGTCAGGCAGCTGACCTTTGTTAGGCGAATTCAGGTTGATATCTGCTGGAGACAAAATGATGTCAGAAAGTGTCCAGTAAGTTAGTTTTCAGGAAGCAGATAGTGTGGAGATCTCCCAGGAAAGGAGGAAAGGAGGGAGAGGAGGGAGGGAGGGACAGGAAGGGGAGGGAATGGGGAAGGAGAAAGAAAGGGGAAGGGATAGGAGGGAGGGAGGGCAGGTAGCCAGGGAGAGAGTGGAAGGGAAGCCATGAGCCTAGTAACACTTCCCAGATGCGTGAGCATGGTCTGGGCAGCTCTCTCCCAGGCCACCTGAGAAGCAAACCCAACACCACTTGTGTTGCTGGGGCACTAGAAATGCTTGCCAAGGTAGTCAAACCCCAACTCTGGTTTCTCCTGTCTCAGAATACTAGCTAAGGCAGAAAATGCCTGATACAAAGAGAGAGCCCAATGCAACAGATCTTTCGTGTTTTACAGCAAAGGACATAACACGCTGATCAGCAGCAAAAACATCACTTTCTACTCCACTCTGCCAGGGACGTGCTAAAATTACATACAAGTAGTATGTGTTAGTCACCCAGCCCCTGCAAGGAGTCACCAAGTTAAAATCCCCTTTAATTTCATCACTGACACTCATCCCACAGCCAGGAGATGGCCAGCATGTGCAGAGATGAGAGGGAAACACTGCCCCACGCCTGTCACACCAAAGCGAGTGCGTGAGCAAACACCACATAGGAAAAGTGTGGGGATGGCACTATTGGCAAAAATAATAAAGTACAGCCCTCACTCACTCCTGGGTCTCAGCTCTTGCTACACTCATCTGTGAATTATGGTAATACAAGGACCAATCTGAAGGTGCTATTCTAAAATTATTAAAAAATCATTTGAGAGCTGAGGATATAGCTCAATAGAATAAGCATTTGCCTGGCAAGCCCAAAGTCCTGAGTTCAATCCCTGGTACCACAAAGAAAAAAAAAATTTTTTTTTTGAGGGCCAGTGATATAGCTCAATGGTCTAAAGCACCTGCTTAGCCAAGCACAGGGACTGCAGTTCCAGCCCACCCCACCACATGCCGAGCCAGCCCTGTCCCCAGGATGGGCTGAACTGAGGGAAAAAAAATCATTTGATAGGGCTGAGCTAAGCCCAGCAGTCTAAGCACCTGCCTGGCAAACACAAGGACCTGGATTTGATTCCTGGTACTATATGATACACCAGCCCCAGAACCCCAGGAGTGCTGTGCAGGCCACCAAAACTGGGTGTGGTGGTACATGCCTGTAATCCCAGTGCTGGGGAGGTTGAGACAGGAGAATCACTATGAATTCTCACTGTGTAGTGAGACCCTGTGCCAAATAAATAAATAAATTATTAAA